GCATCTTCGGCGGCCTTGCTACCGGAATCGTCGCCGTGGCTTTGCCATTTGTCTGGCCCGCATTTCGAAAAGTGGTCCTCCCGTACGTGCCCGCAACGACGACCCAGGTGGAAAACGTTCTCCAGGCGCTCAAACACCGACGAGCTCATTTGCCAGCGGGCAACACTTCACTGGATCAGCTGCGAGTGATAGACCTGGGAAGCGGAGACGGTCGCATCGTAAGTGTATCCGAGAGAGAGAAAGACGGCAAATGCGATCGAAATTAGAGTGCTTGCGCTTCTTCGATCGACCACCCACTGATCGATGCGAGAAGAGTCGGCAAGAAAGCACCAAGTGTTCACTTGAAGACATTTACCACCACCGAGACATTCTGTTTATCTCCCTGCCAGGTGATTGAGTGTGCGAAGCAAGGAATGCGATCACATGGCGTGGAATTGAATCCATGGTAGGTGCTGTCTAATACGACCACTCTCAAAGTCTGACGATATAGCGAATGATTGAGACCAGAACGGCGGGTACTCACAGTTGCTCTCGATCTCGATCTCTCGTTCACTCTGTCTGGCCAGACTTCGGACTACTAGTGCTCCTGTTCCTGTTTTACTGTAATATCACACCGCTGTAACACACTCTCCTTGACACACAGGCTGGTTCTCTACTCAAAGTTCCGCGCTTACAGAGAAGGCGTCTACCGGCTTGCCTCCTTCAGGAGAAAGGACCTCTTTAAGGTAAGGTAAACACTTTACGGGTAAACAGTTCCGCTAAACACACACACTCACATTCACCGAAAAGAACTACGCGCCACAGACGGAAGTGCGGCCACAACAGTAGTGAAGTAAGCAGACCGTGCCAATGAAGTGAATGATGTCTGTTTTGTAATGACTAGTTGGGCAATGGAAGATGATGAATACAACAACAACAACAACAACAAAAGAAAGTTATATAACATGTGTGCTATTCCACTTTTTGTTTTTTCTCGAAAATAGGTCGATTTGGCCGCCTATGACCGCATAGTCATCTTTGGCGTGGACACCCTGATGCCGCTCATCGAGCGGAAGGTGAGTGAGGACTGCGATCAGAAGGCGAAGCAGGTGACACTGGTCGTCTGTCGGTTTCCACTGCCCAACTGGCAGCCATACGCCTCCTTCGGCACCGGCGTCGACCAGGTCTGGCTGTACGAGTACTACCCATCCACGCCCACTACCACCAGCAAACGGGGAGCTTAATGACTAGTCAAGTGTGGCTCTATCCTCCTCCTCCTCCTTCCCCTCTTCTCAGTCATCCTGTTGCTCCAGTTCGTACCACTTGGTAAAGGAGAGTGAGTTCTTCTCCAGGAAGTTGTCATTGAAATAAATCTCCACGTAGCCTAGGCTGACTTTGCCTCGCTTGAATATTATTCCGTTGGTTGAGGTGAAGACGACGAACTTTAGCGATTCAATGTCTTCATTCAGATCAACGTAAAATCTGGAGTAAAAAGAGTGTGACTGAGTACAAATCTTCAACAATGCAATCCATCCCTACCTCTCCTCAAAGACAGGATGACAGGTGCTCTTGATGGTCACTGAGCGATTCCGCTTGTCACGAACTACCTTCCGATCTGGCTGCAGGTACAGTTTGACGTACGGATTGGGGAGTTGATTGTTGATCCTCCTCAGGTTGCTGCAAAAGGTAGAGATAGCTTAGAGTGATGTTGACAGAGTAACTGTCAGTTAACTTACCTAGCCTTGTGAACCAGCACCTCCAGCTTGTTCTCCTCGAGCAGTTTGTTGACTGACACCTGCAGCATCGGGTAGATGTTCAACTCTAGCTCCTTAGATCGAGGATCACCACCGCCACCATTGTTTGCCGCTGCCTCACTGAGGAGAGGGTCCCTGGAGTGGCCATTCTTGTTGTTTCTGTCGAGAGTTTGTCTTGTAGTATCACAAACAGTTCTAGTACAACCCACTCCCTTACCCGTTTAGCCGCTTGTGCTGGCTGATCTCAATCAGCTTCTCNCGACTCACTGAGGAGAGGGTCCCTGGAGTGGCCATTCTTGTTGTTTCTGTCGAGAGTTTGTCCTGTAGTATCACAAACAGTTCTAGTACAACCCACTCCCCTTACCCATTTAGCCGCTTGTGCTGGCTGATCTCAATCAGCTTCTCCCCCTGAATGCCGCTGAACATGGCAAATGGCTCCACTGTGCCCTTGATCATGTCCTCCATTGTGGGAATGTTGTCCGCATCCTCGCTGTCCACCGTGTCATCGCGCACTATCTTCACCTTCTCCTGAGAGGGCGAACGGAGAAAGTACAGCGACAGTTTACAGTGCAGGTCGAAGCTATGGCTGAACTGGCGGACGAGTAGCGGCTCAGTGAAGGTCATGTCCTTCGATTCGACCAGCGACTGCATCCGAACAGAGACATGGCCAATCAGCTGACTACTTTTGCTGTCCACCACCTCGATGGACAGCTCGTCGTGGGGGCTGTAGTCGTCGAGGAGAAAGTGGAAGGTCTCCTCCCAGATTGGATTAGAAGTGAAGTTCTTGACGATGCTGCGCTGCGTCTGCCGCCGCAGCTTGAAGATCACCTGCGGACTGGGCTCGCCGATGGACTTAGCGGAGATGGGCAGGTGCTTGGCGCAGTCCAGGTAGACGAGCAGACAGGCCACCGAGCCGATGGGCTGCTGCTCTCCTGACCTGCTGCTGCTCGATTGACCCTGCTCCTCGGTGAGCCCTCGGTGGTACCTCGCCCTGACGCGACTGCCCTCCTTGCTCTGTGCGGCCAGATTGGCGGTGGAGTGCTCCAGCGTGAACCAGGTCATCTTGACGTGCACCCGACCGGTCTTGGTCTCCTTCAGGTTGCTCCACGCATCTACGACGCCGTCCTTCTTGATGCTGTCCAGGCTGAAGTACGCCTTCCCCAGAAAGTCGTCCTTGCTGCCCTGGTCCTCGTCCATCACCTCCAGGTCGATGCTCTGCGTGGTGAGGAAGACCGGCGTCTCGCAGATGAAGTTCCACTTTGGGTTCACTGGTGGTGGTTAGAGAAGACACCACAGAAGGCGAAGAAGAGGTGAAGAAGAACCAAAGTGGGACATTGAAATGGGAGGACAGACAAAAAAGAAAAGTTACCCGTATTGTAGATGGTGGCGGTGCGAAACTCCTGACTGCCCACGATGATGTTCACATAGGGGTCCGACTTGCCGAGGCCTACGTAAAAAGTGCTGTTAGAGGCATCGACGACGACTTCTCCATCGAGGACGCCTTCAAACCAACCTAGCATGCCCACGTCGGACTTTTTCAGGTGTCGCGCCTCGATCACCTCCAACCGAACGACGCCAATCGGTTGCGTGAACTTGATCGAACTCGCCTGAAAGTCAGGCACCAGCGGCAGGACGAACTTGTTTGGCAGCACCAGCAGTTTGGCGAACTGCTCCTTGATTCCTCGCCGGAGAAACTCGCTGTGAAAAGGTTTGGGTGTTTTAACTGTATAGATCTTAATTAAAAAAAATCCATCTACCTCATGACAGGAAAGTCGAGAATGTTGCCTAAATTGGTAAAATTGTACTCTATAACGGGATTCTTGAGAAAGTAAAATGAGACACAACCAACGAGTGGCATGTCCTTGATGAGGGGCTTCAGTTCGACGCGCATCACGCCGTACACTTGAAAGTCCTTGATGCCGGCACCAAGGCCCTTTATCTTCACTTGAATATCACAGTCGCCGGCGTAGCTATCAAGTGGAACAGAGGGAGATTGTGTTAGTGTTGACATACTTAATTGGTGACATAAGACAATTGCCTTTAAGTGGGCACTCACATCAGCTCAATGTCGAGAATGATCTCCTTCCGGTCAGTGTTCTCGTCGTAGCACTTGACGGAGCCGATGCGCGGCACGACGCTGCCAAAGTCGATTTTCTCAAAGCGAAAGCCCTTGCAGTAGTCGGGCATGATGTCGTCGATGTTCTGCTCGGCGTTCGCCTTTAGAAAGTCCGCCAGGTACTGCGCAACAAATGGCCACAGCTGCTTCAGCGCCCGGTTCAGCCACTCGGCGCGTTCGGTGTCGGGAAAGAGCACCCAACAGGGCAGGTCCTTCACCGAGCACTTGATGATGGACTTCTCGTCGTTGGCGACGGCTCGCTGAAAGTCCACCCGCCGCTGGTGCACTGAGTAGTGCTTCTCACGGCCCACCAGCAGGAAGGCCGCCACTGAGATCCACCAGAGCGACAGGCCGAGGTAGCCGATGATGTAGCCGAAGAAGAAGATGCCAAAGAGGTGGAAGAACTTTCGGACCAGCGAGAGCAGCTCGAGGTTCTCTTCGCTGAGGGTCTCCTCTTCCCCGGTGGGCTGACTCGCTGCCGAATCGCCGTTGCTGCTGCTGGAGTTCATGCTGCTGCTTCTGATGATGATGACTATGGTTTGATGGTGATGGGGTAGTGATGAGGATGACGAAGAAAAGGACTGCAGCCCTTTTCACATGGAAGGCACATTGGATGCAGTGGAAGAAGGAAAGATGTGCGGTGGGTGATGATATCACTCGCGCCGATCGGCGCAGCAGCTGTCACAGCGGTGCGGCGAACAAGTGTGACAGAGATGGCTGGCAGATTGGGCAGACTGTTGTGGAGAGGACGCGGCGACACTTTAACACACTCCGCACTCCAACACAGCCGAAACAGCAGTTCCACTTAATAGGATGATGCACTTGTTTGTTCTCAGTGTGTCACTTCTTACTTTTTAATATTTTGTATGATTTAGTAGTAAGACACTCTCACTCTGCGGTGACTGTCACCAGACATGCACGCAGACGCTCCGGCGAAATAATGTAGAAGTGTGAGTGTTGTGCTTGTTGGTCATCATCATCTTTCACGTGCATTCAAGCTTCAGTCGTTCTGTTCAATCGATCGGGCATAGTTAGCATTGTGGAGAGGAATTGTCGTGTCGTAGTCGTCGTATTTGCTGTAGTGGTCGTCTAAGAGAGAGGACATTGCAAGAGTCGGACGAAAGAGGAACCGGGGAACAGAAGACGCGCTAAGCTAATAATGCTCCACCACCGTGCACCAGCACTGACACTGCATTTGCTGGTGCTGGTGCTGCTTTGGCTGGTTACCTTAGCAATTAATTGTGACGCCAACAGGCGCGTGCCGGCGAGGGCCAATCGACGACCACCAATTCACGACGACAACGGACACATTCATAAAATATAAGGAATGAACCACCGGCCCATAATGACACAGAGACACGGAGGGCAAACACACGGAATTCAATGAAGTCTGAAGGAGGAAGAAGAAGAAGA